TCATATCGCATAATCTTATTAACTGTTTATCTCCTGAACTGAACTGCAACTTTCTTTACCACGCAGCGCCAATCCCGCCGTGCAGTCAATTTCGCTGGTTAAGGTTAGGGTCAGGTGTGGGGTAGGTTTAGGTGGTTAGCATTTTTTGTAGCATAGTGTGGGAAATCAACACTTTAATTGACACAACCAATAAAATGTTTAGAATCAGCTGTGGGGCGGAGTTTGCACTGAAGTGGATTGGGGGGAAAAAATTGCGCATGCGTGTCATGTGCCTGTCTGTCAATGGGAGGAAGCCACGCCTATTATTAAATTACCTGCAAGCATCCACTTTTATGTCAGACAACCTGTCCAGGACCTGCACACCTGCCAATCAGTGGCATGTGTGTTTCTTCTTCAACAGGGTTGCAGACGGTCGAGGCTGCTAAATTTGGCATCAACTCATAAACTTGGATACCGAATTCCTCGCAACCATGGCACTCATCACACACTCCTTAAAACGTTTAGTTACGTGAACCACATTCCCATAGTCCGACTACACCAATGCGCGTGAAGTTCGTGAACTCATACAAACGCTACATGTATATGAAATATGCAGGGGCGTGTCTACGTGGTGGCCAGGGGTGGCACCGGCCCCCCCTGAAATTTGGCTGGCCACCCCAGGTGCCCCCCCTACCAGATGTCTTGCTATAGGCTCGTGCGAGGACAGAGGTGCCCCCCAGCTGCAAGGACAGAGGTGCCACCCCAGGTGCCCCCCGGCCACCCTCTTTTGAGCCAGTACCCCCGACTATTTTGTGTGCCCGGTACAGAACATTAATGTAAAAACATTCACAATACATTTGTACCTAAAGAATAAACACTAGTACCTAAAGAATAAGCACTAGTAGCTAAAGAATAAGCACTAGTACCTAATGAATAAGTACTAGTACTTAATGGAAAAGATACTAGTATCTAAAAAATAGATACTAGTACCATGAAAATAGATACTAGTACGGCTTATAGATTAAATGTTAAAACGGCTTGCCATAATACATGTCTATGTTGAGAAACATATACATGTCTATGTTGAGAAACGTCTCGATCAGGCTAACTTGATATCCACGAGTTCCCAAACGGTAAAGCTTTATTAATTCAACAAATTAATTTGAAACATCGCACTATTTATAATAATTTCCTGAGAGAAAGTATGTTTTCATATACTTGAAAATAGAAAATATTTTCAAGCATATCGTAATGAAATGTCCTCTAACGACGTTACCTGACTGTTTCGTTTTTTTTTTTATTGATATAAAATTAAGATAATACAATAAACATATAATGACTTTGAAGATACTTGTATAACAACAACAAAAGAAAAATATTAAATTAAATAAATTCACAAAATATTCTACAGCTGTTGGCTTTTTAAACAGGAATGAATAAATGAATCAATCAATCAATCTGACCACGGCGCACGTGTTAGCCTATCAGAAAACGAGATGGTGACTCTCTGCCAATAGCCTGAGTTTGGGACGGACTCTCATTTCGTCGTTTAATATGTGACCCTGGACTACAAAACCAGTCATAAGGGTAAATAAAAAAGAAGAAGAATATGAAAGCTGAATAAATGAGCTTTTCATTGATGTATGTTTTTTTTAATGATAGGACAATATTTGGCTGAGATACAACTATCTGAAAATCTGGAATCTGAGGGTGCAGAAAAATCCAAATATTGAGAAAATCGCCTTTAAAGTCACCATGAAATCAAAATGGAAAATTCTTATTTTTTAATGGAATACTGTAGTGTTTATTATAAATAATTAACCGTGCACTTCATTATTTTTTAAAAATTCATATGCCCTCAGTAATAAAAACCTTAACCTCCCCCTCAAAACGACTCATCTTCTCTTCCGGTCACGAGCTATGGCACAAGGGCGGAGCTAGTGATGTGAGGGCTAAATGCTGGGATAAACGACAGGGGGAAAAGCTGAAGCTGATGCTTCACTTTATAGCACTGACACCAGTCATGAGGGAGTACCTTACCCCTAAACATTGAAAAGATATTAGGATATTACGACAACATTACTCTTAGGACATCGCAAACTAATTTTTTTCATGAATATGACTTAACCTGATGGAGGACGCGCTCAGTCATTCAGGCAGTCTCTCTCTCTCTCTCTCTCTCTCTCTCGTGTGCGCGTGCTGTTTAGGCATGTTTTGTGCCGTTGAACGTCGTCGTCATCCTTAATAAATAAAACATTTATTCATGCTTGGCTGTCGGCTGTGAATCCAGTGGAGAGAAATCCCCCACCACTAACTGAAAACTGGCATTCAGATCTGCCTCCATTTTGTTAGCAACACCCCACCTTCCAACATTCAATCAATTCCCGAAGGACGAAATGAAGTCCCGCCCTCTCATTTCAGATGCCGTTTCACCCTGGATATACGTCACAGCAGAGAAGAAAAGACAATCGCAACTTCCGTTTCATGCCGACTTTAAATTTCACTGTGTTGATTTATGTATTGTGTTGTGTTGTGTTAAGAAGTAAAACAAGACCGCGAATGTTTATTGTTGCTATAAAACAACTTACATATTGTAAATGCCACCATTTTGAAGATCTCATTCCCGCCAATAGATGGCACAGTTCATTGTTCTCATGTATGAGGGGGAGGTTGGTGATCTTGGTTGAGCATTGTTAAGCATTAATAATTAATTGAGTTTGTTTTGTTCCAAATTTGTATGTATTTTGTATTATTATATCAGTTTACAGCACCCTTGGTAAATATGAACAAAGAAGGCTGTGAAAATAAATCTGCATTGTTTATCCATTTGATCTTTCATTCAAAAACATCCAAAAATCTAACCTTTAATTTAAGCAAATAATAAAAAATACAAAAAATAAATAAAGTGGGGGAATATCACATTATGAAATAAATATTTTTCTCTAATACACAATGGCCACAATTACTGGTACCATTAGAAATTTGCATGAGTAAAATATCTCTAAAGTATATTCCCATTCATATTTGCATTTTTTAGCACACCAGGGTGACTATGAACATGAAATTATCCAGCCATGACTTTTGTATTTCACAGGAGTATACATATGAGGGAACACAAAGCCAAATTCCCTTAATCATCCATCACAATGAGAAAAACCAAAGAATATAGGTTAGTCCTGATGTGCAGCAAAAAATTGTTGAGCTTCACAAATTAGAAACGCGCGCTGTTTAGGCATGTTTTGTGCCGTTGATCGTCATCGTCATCCTTACTAAATAAAACATTTATTCATGCTTGGCTGTCGGCTGTGAATCCAGTGGAGAGAAATCCCCCACCACTAACTGAAAACTGGCATTCAGATCTGCCTCCATTTTGTTAGCAATGCCCCAACTTCCAACGATCCAATCAATTCCTGAAGGACGAAATCAAGTCCCGCCCTCTCATTTCAGATGCCTTTTCACTCCGGTATACATCACAGTAGAGAAGAAAAGACAATCGCAACTTCCCTTTCATGGTGACTTTACAGTTCTCCAAATGAAGTTCTTGGCAATGCATATTACTAATCAAAAAGTAGGTTTTGATATATTTACAGTAGGAAATTGACAATATCATCATGGAACATGATCTTTACTTAATATGCTAATGATTTTTGGCATAAAAGAAAAATCGATAATTTTGACCCATACAATGTATTTTGGCTATTGCTACAAATATACCCGTGCTACTTATGGCTGGTTTTGTGCTCCAGGGTCACATATAAGAGCAAAGGCAAAGTATAAGATGTATATTCATGAACTTTAATAAAACAAATAACACCGTGACAGTTACAAGAACATACAGCAGCAATACAATAACAGTAAAACAACCAAGTAATACCTCCATTTAGGTATATACTATAGTGTTAGACAAAACATTAGATTGAAATTACAAAAAAAAAAGTTACATATCACAAAAGCAACACAACTATGTTGGCCACTGATAACCGCACCAATCTCCGCTACCACATTTTGATAAGAAATTTTGAGTTTTATATCAAGGTATGAAATTTGATTCTGTATTCCAAAGCTTTTCAAAGCACAAATTACCCGTTTCAACTCATGAAAATAAAACATTAGTCGTGTATAACTGCAAAGAGGTACATACAGTAGTTCAAGCTGCATCAAAACATGCTTTTTCATAGATAAAGGTCAAAGCAAGAAATCCATCCACCAACAGACTAATAAACTGAATCGTGAATCTCTAAAATAAGATATGGGATTTCTCTCTTTTAAGAAAAACATTTGGCAAGTTAAACTTCACAGGTTCTATGTAGCAACCTCCATTCTAGAGCAATGAAAGTATCCCTTTCCTTGCCATGTACAGCTATTTACACAAAGAAAGAAGTCAAGGGAAAAACAAAGGCAGAATGTGGCACGTCTTTGTTGAATCAGCAAGGCTGCTGTACCTTACACTTACAAGCTTCAGAAATGTAAAAGAGACAAGAATTATAAGCCACAGCCTGTGGTATTAGGTATTTTTATGGTCTTAACAAATTATTACATTGACTTTTTCTAGCATGATAAACGGAAAGACTATTTTATTAGTTGATCGTAGATCCTCATAGACAGCATTCATATAAGCCATAATTTGAAATCAACCAACACCTAGATCCTTTTTGCATGTCTGAACTAATGGCCTAATGCTCAGCAAGACCAACAAATACAAAAAGAAATCCAGTGTTTTATTATCAATATGAGTTTGTGTATCTTGACATGCATGCTAGAGGAGTCTAGGGTAAGTGCGTTGGTTTCCAACTCGGCCAGTGCTAGAATAAGTCACTTTGTCTCAAGGCTGTGTAAGCAATCAGGTTCTTCAACATCATTTCTTTTCTTTCATTCAGGTCTCTCTACCGGGGTGCAGTGAAGGCGCCTTGTGCGGCAGAAACAGTGGCATTGGTGGCTGCCTGGCGCACTGCCTGATTGGAAAGCACACCTGTAGCAAACTCAGCCTGGGCCTTCTTAAAGCTCGCTTCGGTCTGCCTGTACATAGAATGAACCTGATGGGAGAAGATGCAAAAAAAAAAAAAAATCATTCAACAGATCAATATAATTAATTAAGTATTATGAAGTAAAATCCTACATACATTATTGTTCAAAAGTTTGGGGTTGGCTTTTTAAAGTCTTTGAAAGTCTATCATTTTCTCCAAGGCTGCTTTTTTTGTTAAAAATAAAGTAAAAACAGTAATATTGTGAAATATTATTACAATTTCAAATAACTCTTTTCATTCTAATCTTTCTAATCTGCTGATTTGGTATTGATTTCTTATTATTATCAATGTTAAAAACAGTTTTTGTGGAAACCATTATACTTTATATATTTTTTTTTTTTTTTAATGTAAAGAGTCTGCATTTAAGATACCATTAAGCATTATTTCAAAATAAAAAGTACTAAAGAGCATGATGAATGTCACGTTTTAACAGCAAAATCCATAAACAGCCACCCAGATGTGACCCACAAATCACTACACCGAACAATAACATATGGAAAAGCAGCTGACGTTCTGCAATTGCCATACATTTACATACTAAAAAGCCAAACAATATGGCATCTCTATTGCAACAAACAAAATGTACTACTTAATGCTATAAAACTGAGAGATGCATATAGTCTGAGACAAATGTAAAATGTCAGCTAAAATGCTTGAGCACTTAAAGCATTGTATCTAAGTCTGTTTATTTTAGTTTACAGAGTGAGAAGCCAGTCAAACCCTGGAGTATCAGTGGAAAAATCCACCGAAGAGGAAGACACAGTTTCAAAATAGGATGAAGATCAAACATTTAGTATGGTTTTCAACTTATACTTAAGATTATATCCCTAATTTGACTGCCGGTGGATGCTGTTATTGGTGATGTGATTTACCCTCTTGAGCAACACCACTCCCATGGCCGCCTGAGCGGTGAAGAGCACAGCATTTATCATCATGATCGCACCCACTGCCTTGTTCTTGCTAAGAGCGGCTAAACTCACGATCCACCCACTGTGACACAAATGAGAGAGAAAGTAACAAGCCAGTGGCCAAATTTGTAAGAATGGAATGACACTAAATAACAATAAACAGGTTAGCAACTAAATTTGTACAAATGTGTCTGTTTTATCACGCTCACCTGAAGCCCCAGCCAGGGATACCGACAGTCATGATAATATAAAGCACCAGTTGGGCGAAGAAGACAAAGAAAAATGCAAAGAAGTTGAAGGAACTGTCACTCCTGTTGAGAAACGGAAGCGCACAATGACAAATTCATTATGTTTGGAAACAATTGGCTGACATATGAATTCTAAACGCTCAAAAAATGTTAACATAATGGTATAACAAACTATTACACATTTTCATGATTATTTTCCACTTTTTTGTCAGAGCAAATAAAAAAAAATTGTCTGAAATCTGCATAATTTGAGATATCACTCATATCTGCAGAACAGGTTTTATGCCAAAGTTTAATACTATGATATGAGTTTATTCAGTAATAAGCAGAAATAATGACACTTAATGCCCTTAAAGGAATAGTTCAATTAATAATTCTATTACTAATTATTAATTCAATGCACTCACCCTCAGGCCATCCAAGATGCAGATGAGTTTGTTTCTTCATGGGAACAGATTTGGAGAAATTCAGCATTAAATCGCTTGCTCACCAATGGATCCTCAGCAGTGAATGGGTGCCGTCAGAATGAGAGTCCAAACAGCTGATAAAAACATCACGATAATCCACACGACTTCAGTCCATCGATTAACGTCTTGTGAAGTGAAAAGCTGTGTGTTACTAAGATACAAATCCATCATGAAGAGTTGTAACCTTAAACTTAAAAGTTTAAAGCTTTAAAGGGGTCATATGATGCTTTTTTAAAGATCATTATTTGGTGTATTTGGTGTAACAGAATATGTTGACATGCTTTAATGTTCAAAAACCACATTATTTTTAAAATACTGTACATTATTGTAGGTTCTCTATGCCCCGCCTCTCTCAAACGCTTCATTTTCTACAAAGTCCCTCCTTCCGACAAGCGCAGTCTGCTCTGATTGGCCAGCTGACCCAGTGCATTGTGATTGGCCGAACACCGCAAGCACTCGTCGGAAATGTAACGCCCCTTACCATAATCGCGAGCTTCATCTTTCAAAATAAATGTAAAGACAGTAAATAATGTCATTAGTTTTACCATCAGTTCAAACCCGAAAGGGGAACAGAGTCGCGTGACAGACACAGTAATGATGCAGTACACAAGCCACGGTTATGACAGCTGACTCTACTGTGATGTGAGGCTGTCTCTCTTTCTCTCTCTCACACACACACACACATGATGCGCAAAACTCCGCATTTGAACAGTCAATAGCAAATACTTAAACTAATAACAAAACAGTAGCTGATTCAGAAGCGCCAGATTGTCATAGCAAAGTCAGAATTACCTCCTCTCCTAGGTTCACGAAACGGTCGTCCATAAAATGCATTGCTGTTCTGTTGTAAGTGATCTTAAAGATTCCTAAATGCATCTACTTTTGGAAGGCCAAATAAAGTGCTTTTGCTTTCGCCTAGAAACACACAGCGTCTCCCTGACATGGCTGCTTCAACACTAACTGCGGTTACTGAAACCACGTCTTCTTTCTTTGCGTGCACATTTGGGCGCATTATGCAAATATTCCCACATAGTGAGGTAGATATGTGGGGGCGTGTTAGAACGAGCCGTTTTAGGGGGGCGTGGCAGAGTCTTAACTTTGATAAAGAATATCTCTTTGGTTTTGAGACTTTAGTCTTTGCAACTTCAGGGATCTTATCTATGCACAATCAGCTTGTAACACTCCAAAGAGAAAGGAAAACTTGAAATCGCATCATATGACCCCTTTAAATCTTAAATCCCGTTGTCCTCTCACATCAAAATCTATCAACATTTTACGTAAATGTTCATTTCGATGCTTGATTTGTTTCTCTCCCGATTCAGACAAGATGACTTTTTACTGAAGAAATAAATAATATGCATAGACGACTTTCTAGTATTTTAGCTGGAAGCAATGGTTAAGCCGTTAAAGACATCTTAATGATGGATTTGTTTATTACAACATGCAGCGTTTTGCTTCACAAGATGTTAATTTATGGACTGGAGTCGTGTGGATAACTTGTGGATTATTGAGATGTTTTTATCAGCTGTTTGGACTCTCATTCTGACGGCACCCATTCACTGCAGAGGAGCCATTGATGAGCAAGCGATGTACTGCTAAATTTCCCCAAATCTGTTCTGATGAAGAAACAAACTCATCTACATCTTGGATGGCCTGAGGGTGAGTAAACTTTTAGAAAATGTTCAATTTTGGGTGATTATTCCTTTAAATGCACTTAATATCGGAGTTAGATATAAAGTTAGGTGTCCCACCCTCACGACAGACCACGGTGGTACGTACCTGAAGGCTTTGTACACAGGCCTGTACCAACAAACAAAGGAGCAGGGGGTGAAGAGGAGAAACCAGAGTATGGCAAGGCCGAAACCAACTCCATTATTGGGATCCGCACAGAACATAGCCAAACAGGAGATGAGATTAAAGAGCAAAGTGCATGCTGTAACTAAGAAAAAAAGATGAGAGTAGTGGGTAAAAAGAGAGAGAAAGAGAAGTACAAAGGAAAACTACAGGCCAATTGCAATTGCAAGCCAAGTAACCTACTGAAGTAGTGACTGATCAATATGCCTATACTAGGGAGCAACTGCTGATATGTGACACATAACACAATTGAACTATACACAAAATTGCTAAAACTAAAGCAAAAAAATCAACCAAAAAAGACAATTCTGTCATAATTTATTCACCATTATGTCTTTCTAAAACTTCTTTAATTAACACAAAGCGTCATTTGAAACAATATGAGGGTAAGTACAATATCAGCATTATGATAAGTACTATATATATATATATATATATATATATGTGTACACATATATATGTATGTGTAATTTCTAGTCAAAGGTTTTTTACAAAATCACATGTTATGAGTGAATTAATGAGTTAATATAATAACTTTTGGGTGAACTACCGCTTTTTATTTTGCTTTTTTTTTTTTCATTGTCCATTGAAAAGGCTTTTTGGAAGATTCACATCTCAAAATGACCAAATACTGGTGATTAATAAGTCTGGCCAATGTATTGGTCAATCACTACAGAGGAGACTTAACTATTTCAGTTTAACAGAAGAAAGCACGCATTATAAATTTATAATTGAAGTATTTACTAAAAATTATGGGGGACAGTTACAAAGCAGAACCTTCCACACACTGCAAAAGACATACTAAACCGAGCAAACTTACACATCCAGTAGTAATACAAGGTGGTGACAGTGCGCTGGAAGCTTTGGCCAATCTCCACATTAATGTCCTGATAGAAGCACGGTCCCACCGGGCAGAAGGAGGGCAATGGGGGCCAATTATTCTGACGAGCTGAGGGAGAAGGACACAGAAAGAGATTCATTTCCCCATTCATCAATCACATCTGCTAGCATCACTCCATTAATGTCTTGTTCATTACCACCGAGGTCTAAATCCTACTCCTTTGAAAATACCGTCCATCCATCAGTCATCTTTTTAACTGTTCCATTTCTTTGTCCCCTCCTCTCTCTCATTCAGGTCTCATCCATCTCTGCACTTTCATTGTAACCCTAACCAACAATTAGTCCATCTAAATAATCACATCAGTTCTTAAAATACACTAGTTTGTCTCATCATCTTTTACATATCTATTGCTGCAGCACTTTGCTTTCTTTCGTGCAGATTCTTTATCAGGATTCAAAAAAGTGTAAAAGGAGTGAAAAAAAAAACCTGTAGTGGAAAAAGAAGTTATGTGTTATTTAAATGTGTTACGCTTTGTATGTTCTGCTGAAATGAAGCCTCTCATTCGTAAAAAACACACTGATTGCTTGTCACACTTTCTGCATTGAAAATCTGCAGAATTGTGTAAAATTGTTTATCCAAAAGTGGATTTGAATATGATCAAATGTGCAAATGGAGCTGAGAGTACTTCACTCGTTTTGATAGCTGAAATACTTTTCATCAAAACTCTTCCGTAATGCATCTAGATAAGTACATTATCAGAAAATGTGAGTAGTGGTTGCACATGTAACAGCCGGCAAGACAATGTTATGAATGGTTGCCAGGTCATTCCTATGTGGTTTCTAAGGCGTTATGAGTTGCTTTAGCATTAACATTTTATTAAACAGCTTGCGAATGTCAATACTAATTGCAAACTGCCACTGAAACTTTTACAGTATATGTAATGCCAGCAGTAAAACTGAAGATCACTGTGGGTTCAAGAAGTTTCATTTACATTTAATTCCCCTGGCAAACACAGAAATCAAGATATTTTTCTCTCAAGAAATCAAGATATTGCTGCACTCACTGGCTCCAGACCCAAGCGCATGTGCATTCAGCTCTCTCTCTCTTCTCTCCAGCTCTTTTGCTTTTCTTTCTAGTTCCTCCTGCTTCCTCAAAAGATCTGCTGTGGTGGCATTCACTGCAGACTGCAACAGACATAGAGGGAGAGGCAGCTAACAATTATGAAATGCATAACTGTTTTCTATTACTACCACATTAATAAGCATCCCAGCACAGTATTACATTGATGAGATATATTTATGGTCAAATGTTTGCAACTCAACAGGGAGCAAAACTATAGCTGAAATTCAGCTGTGTTTACTCTTCCATAGCAGTATGAACGTTTAGTTTATTAATTAGTAGCAAATATGTCATCGTTCAGAAGTGTGGGGTCACCTAGTCTGCATTGATTTGATCAAAAATACTGTAAAAACAGTTCTATTCTCAAACATAATTGCAATTAAAGATAAAGTGTTTTCTATTTTAATATATATATATATATATATATATATAATGCAATTTATTCCTGTAATGCAAAGCTGAAATTTCAGCATCATCCTTCCAGTCTTCAGTGTCACATGACCTTAAGAAATTGTAAAATGGTGACTTGCTGCTCAAGAAACATTTCTTATTATTATCAATGTTGTTGCAACTGTTGTTACTACTGAATATTTTTGGTTGAAACTGTGATTTTTTTTTCCAGGATTCTTTGATGAATACATTTTTTAAAAAAAATAATTATTTGAAATAGAAATCTTTTGTGACATTATAAATGATCAATTTGATGCATCCTTGCTGAATAAAAGTATAAATTACTGATCCCAATCTACTGAACGGTAGTGCATTTTTATTTTATTATTTTATTGTTATTATCTTGCTATTCCCATAAACAAAATAATAAACATCAGTCAGTGGCCTTAAGATTATTCATACAAATCAGTTTAATCATACTATACATTTGGTGAAAAAATCTGAAAGCTGTCCAAATATAGAACTAAATAATTATCAGATCAAATTATATAACCGTCCATCATGCAATATTTAACTGTTAAAACAGCCCAATAACCACTGTAGAATTGCATTATGGTGGTGACAGATCTAGATCTTAACAGAATGGTACTAAAATACTGCTTTATAATTGAAATCATATTGCATACACTGGCTTGATGAGGGGGCAACTGTGTGCTGTAACTGTTGCAGTAAAAATCTTTATAAACTACCAGATGTAACAATCCAGTGCCATGGCCCTGTGTGAACAAATATGTCTCATTTAGTTACTCTAAACAGCACCTGTGTTCCATAGGATCCATAATTCCTGGGCTCGGTTGGTGTGGTCCTGCTGGGAGGCGTCTGGGCAGGAGGTGCAGCAGGAGATGTGGCTTCATAGGGAGGTGGAGGCTTCATTACCCAAAACAAATAATATCAGCTTAATAAAAATCTAATTAAGCAAAAATAAGCCATCATAATGATGCAGGAATGGTATGACGCAACAAATTAACTGACATCTTTAAAAACATAACATAATATTACAAAACACAATAATGAAAGTTTCTCATGAGAATTTTCTCTTGCAGCGCAAAGGCAACTGAAGTTGACATGAAATAGAGGTTATAATTAATTGTACTCCCATCATGTATTAATAATTAAAGGCTATGTAAACAGCCTGCTCAAGTCAGGAAGGACATATTTACCGCTGTTGTGTTGTTGTCAAATGGGTTGTAGAGGTCCAGCGTGGCATAGCCAGTGTTGCTGCTGTGCTGAGTCACTGATGGATCCTGCAAACACAGGAAAAACGAACCTTTCAGTTCATTTATAGCTGGTGATAGATAATAATTAAATATCTGGGCTGATGCCACAAAAAAACATAACATTTTTAAACCAAGCTCCAGGTCGCCTAAGAACTGGCACTTTAAACTTACAATCTTACACTAATATCATTGTTTCTGAGGTAGAAACTTTATCTGCTATAGAGGGACTAACCTTCACAACACAATAAGATAATTCATCTGATAAACTGCAAGTAACTAACCAAAAATAACATAAAATAATAGAGAACCACTCAAACGTTATGACACACGAGTGAATTTGTTTCTCATGATCTTAAAGACCTTCTGACCTAAATGCTTCAATTTAGATTTAAAGAAAAATATAAACTGCACCTATGTACAGACTTCAATATAAAAATGCTATAAAAAAAATAAGAGCAATATTTTCGCCTTATTTGGCCATTATATAATTCCTACATGTTTGTGACTTTTTTTCTTTTACTTTTTTATACAAACTTCAAAATAGAAATGGAAATGTAATAGAATTATAACAATATTCTTAGCCTTACTACAAAATATGATGCTTTTACCTTTTTTATGACCTAATATCTTAAAATGTGGAAAATAATAACAATAAACAATAACCAGGTGTGTCCAAACTGACAGTCTTTTTTTACATGCTGTTTCATATAATCATTTTTCTAATTTCATTAGTTGATTCCTTTAATTTAGCCATACTTAAAGCAACAAGTGATCAACAACTAGCAGTTCAAATACAAACCAGAATGTCAAGGACACAGATTGGAGTGATCATTCATACAAAACCACAGTCATGTAACTGAATATGATTGGCCTGGCCTTTGATGACTGTCAAGTCCTGTGACAGCATCACAAGAGGTACAGCACTACACACATAAGGCCACAAATAAAAACAACTCAAACAGATAAGTGATGTACAATTACAAAAATTAGAACAGTATATTACCTGAAATGGATTATGATCATCAGCTGCATCAGCAAAAGTGGTGTATTTTGACATTTTGGTACTGGTTTGGCAGATTAGATCTCGCTAAGATGTAAAAAGAGGTTCAACTCAACCGCGATGAACAGGTAAACACCAGAACAGTGTTGTGTAGCGGGCAGTTACAGGCAGAAGTCAATCCAGTTTAGTAAATACCGGATTGTAATTAGTCCATTTAAAACAAACAAATCACACCGCGACCGGTTAACACTAACTAGCTAACCAACCAACACTACAACGACACGTCAGGTATCAGTGTCAAGTCAATAGCAAGTTCTGTCCTTATATTACAGCGGTCTGTGGTCTTCTTCTTTGGTTTTTTAAATTATTTATTTATTTTCCTTTGTTAGATCCGACGAGCGACACGATTTTGTTTCAGTTGACAGCGCTGTTGTGTAGTGCTAGTGTATAGGAAATGTGTTCATATCACATGACAAGGGTGTTGCCAGGTTGCGCAATAAAAACAAGTAATTTAATTTAAAAACAAATTTGAACAGGCCATTCTGTTTTTCTTTTCGGTTGAGTAAACAGCAAAATAACGTATTTTTGAAAATCAATCCCATTTACAAAAATATAATTAAAATAGTTCACATTACAACTAGAAATAAACTAGTCGTTAACTTGTAAGCGAAAAACAGAGACCTATAATTACTTATATTTAGTGGACATGGCAACATAGCAGAACTGACGCTTTGAGGAAAAAGTTGCGCCACATGACGAGGAAGAGCCAATGAGAAAGCGCTATTTTATCACATGATGAAGGAGAATTTTTGTGAAAAAGCGCATATCTGAAGAGAAAAGCGAAGGGGCTTGTTTCTCCTAAAAAACTAAAATAGTTGTATTTCAGTGTATTATATTATTTCAACAACAGCATGGCCTATCATTTCTAAAATCTATCTATCTATCTATCTATCTATCTGTCTGTCTGTACATCCATCCATCCATCCATCTCGGTTAAGCGGTACGATTTAAAATGTAATTTAGAATCATGCTGTTCCTGTTCCTCATTCAACCACTAGACGTCACTGTTGCCTCGAGGCAGCAACATAATTTCCCTCTGTAAAATATAGGTAGGACCACCGGGGCAAGTTGTCACACGGGGAAGATGGCTGAAGGCTTGCAATTCTCTAGTCATGTGAGTTCACATGGGTGACAGGAGGGCAGAAAGTCAGTCATATGATACCTCACAACACACAAATATACCACTACGCCACCAACCAACGCACACACAATCACCCTTCTTCGTGCTCTTTCATAAAACTCATTTACTTTGATTTACAAATTCACTTTATGTCACTGAAAGTTTGACCTCACTGACTGCAGGTGTTCAAGTTGCTTTCTCTGATCATTTCTGCAGCTGCTGCTAGGATACAAAGTGTCCCACAAACAATTAATTCAGCACTTTGACTTCAGTCTTGACCAGATGTGGATGAAATTCACACATACTGAATGGAAACCAAGAAACTAGACACTCCACCAATTGACTTTGAAACAGCGTGGCTCCTGGATCGCATTATTTGTATGCTCTGATCTTGGTGTGCAAGCTTCCAGTGAAGTTCAAATGCAATACATTAATCAGTGAGCATGACAGAGCGATGGTAAACAGGAATGGGACCTTAAATGAATCATTCATAGAGAAACAATATGTTCTTTATCTGTGAGTTCAGAGGAAGGTTATGCTGAAGCGACAAAGATTTGTCACTCTTAATTCCCTAAACCTTCTTTCCTTTAAAACCTCTTTTTCTCGTCTCTAAGTGGGTGTGTCCGTGCTTCCTTTTGCTTTCCTTTGAAACCGCAACATTCCTCAGCCAATCAAGCCATGCATGGCCCCATGACATCACCGCCTGTGGAATGAGCTGACATGAAGCCTACACTGGTGAGTTGCCAAGGCAACCAGCAGGGATGGAGGGAGCTTCAGTGGACCGTGTGGGCTTGTGGGTTTTTCCCCTGTTTCTCAGCAGTATGGTCTCAATTAAAGAAAAGGACAAACCAGGATCTGGGTCTCATTTAGTGCATACCACCACAATAGGCTTAAACCGCACAAGGCCAGAGTTAAATACATGGTGAAGACTTGATGACCTTGTTCTAGAGTGCTTGTAATATTAATCTTGTTAACGAGGTGTGCAGTAAACACACCAGGCATCGCAGCAGATGTGAAACCGTGTCTCAAAGCATTTTGGCATTCGCTTGGAATTGAAAAGTGAGTCAAGAAGCCCAGACAGACAGATGGAACAAATAGAATTAATGCTGTGCAAATGTGCATTTTCGGAAAAAAAACGTTAGCAACAACTTGCCGCCACAGTGAAAGGTGCTGAGGGTGGTTGCTAGGGTGTTGCTAGGTGGTTGTGAGGGTGTTCTGGGTGGTTGCTACTAGGGCATTGCTAGGTGGTTACTGGGATTTCTGCATGGAAAGTAAGAAAATTGTTACTGGGTTTCTGAGGAGCTTTTAGGACTTTCTGGGTTGTTGCTAGGCCTGTGCTAGATGATTGTTAGATGGTTCTAGGTGGTTGCGAGGTCACTGATATAAGGTTATAGATGGTCGCTATGCCATTTGCAAGGTGGTTGTTAGGGTTTTTTAAATGGGATTGCAAGCTGGTTGTTATAATGGTTGTTATTCTGGATGGTTGCTAGGACATTGCACAGTGGATTTCTGCGTGGTTGCTAAGGGGATTGATATAGGTTTTCTGAAGGGTCGCTAGGGAATTGCTAGGTGGTTTTTAGGATGTTCTGTTTCTAGGTCTAGGCTAAGTGGTTGTTAGGACGCTTTGGGTGGTTACTAGGCTATTGCTAGATAATTGATAGGAGGAGCATTCCAATTGACATCCCTAAGCACGGGATATCCATTGAAGTGGACTTAGCTGACAATAATTACTCATTTGGAAAGCCCTGGAATGTTTTCAAAGAAACGTTATGATGGGGTCACGCAGATAATGATATAACAAAAATAAATATTGTAATTTATTTTACTTTAAAATTTTAATACATATAAAATACATAAACAATTATGTATCTAATAAATATAGTCAAAATGTATGTTAGACGGTTAACAGATTGTAGTGGTCATCTCGAGTGCTTTCTTTCCCACACGCAGCTTCATAGTTAAGTCACCTGAGGTAAATAAAGTAAAATAAAAAATGACAGAGCCTCAGTTGTTTCTCGACGGTTTTACTTAGTTTCACCTATTCATACAATACATTATGAAAATGTAACATTCATCGTCATTACAATTCATAAATACTATAGTTTGTATAATAATAACAACATTTAATAATAACTCCTCATTACAGAGCCAATAACAGTTGGGTGATTTTCCCTGTCAGCTTCCTGTAAAGCGATGTATCCCTTATTCCCTATGCCGCAGTGCCCTTCGAACTGAACAGGTTCGTTCCCTTCAGATTGGAATCTCACTTAAAGGGTTAGTTCAACCAAAAATGAACATTCTGGGATTAATTACTCACTCTCATGTCATTCAAAACTCGTAAGACCTTCGTTCATCTTCGGAACACAAATTAAGATATTTTTGATGAAATTCGAAAGCTTTCTGACCCTCCATAGACAGCAAAGCAACTGACACGTTTAAGGCCCAGAAACATAGTAAGGACATCGTTAAAATAGTCCATGTGACATCTGTGGTTCAACCATTATTTTATGAAGCTACGAGATTACACACTCTAAAAAATGCTGGGTTAAAAAGGGACAAACCCAGCTATTGGGTTGCTTTGACTCAGCAGTTGGGTTGTTTTGACCCAGCGGTTGGGTTGTTTTGAACCAAACCGCTGGGTCAAAACAACCCAATAGCTGGGTTTGTCCCTTTTTAACCCAGAGCTGGGTTATATTTAACCCAGCATTTTTTAGAGTGCACCATGCATGCGTGAGCATTCCTCTGCTTGTAAACAAGGCGCAGTGCATCGTGGTACTCTTGATAATGGTGGAGGACTCTCCCAGGAGAGGAGAAATCATTGAATAAAGTAGTTATTTTTGTTTTCTTTGCGCACAAATAGTATTCTCATAATTTCATAACATTACGGTTGAACCACTGTCACACAGACTATTTTAACAATGTCCTTACTACCTTTCTGGGCCTTGAATGTGTCAGTTGCTTTGCTGTCTATGCAGGGTCAGAAAACTCTTAGATTTTATCAAAAATATCTTACTTTGCGTTCCGAAGATGAACGAAGGTCTTACACGTTTGGAATGACATGAGAGTGAGTAATTAATAACAGAATTTTCATTTTTGGGGTGAACTAACCCTTTAAGATGGCGGAATACCATGTGAAATCCACTTCGCAGTCCACTTACGTTTGAATGGAACGCATCTAGGGTGTTCTGGGTGGTTGCTGGGGCATTGCTAGATCATTATTAGGGTGATGAGTGATTGCAAGGGGGTTCTCAGTAGTTGCTCTTAGAATTGTAGATGGTTGTTGGGGGTTATAGATAAGTCTAGTGTATTGAAAGGTGTATGTTAGGTGATTTATAGATGGTTGCTAGGGCATTGCAAAGTGGTTGTTATGGTGTTCTGGGTGGTTTCTATGCATTGCTAGGAGTTTACTGGGGGATTCATTATGAAGATTCTGAAGGGGTGCTAGGGCATTTTTAGATGGTTTTTGGGGGTTATGGATTGTTGCTAGGGCATTGCAAGGTAGTTGTTATGACAATAGCAATGGCAAGACTGGGTGGTTTAGGGGGCAGTCGTGGCCTAATGGTAAGAGAGTTGGACTTGTAACCCAAAGGTTGCGGTTGCGAGTCTCTGTACCGACCGGAATTGTAGGTGGGGGGAGTGAATGAACAGTGCTCTGTTCCACCCTCAGTACCCACAACTGAGCAAGGCACCGAACCCCCAGTTGCCACAGCAAAAAATGGCTGCCCACTGCTCTGGGTGTGTGTCCACTACTTGCTGCTGTGTGTGTGCAAATAGTTGCCAGGTCATTGCTAGGTGTTTGCTGGGGTTTTCTTGGTTGTTGCTAACCCTATGCTAGGTTGGTACAGAGTTCTGGGTGGCTGCTAGGTGGTTGTTAGGGTGTTCTTGGTGGTTGCTAAGGCATTGCCAGGTGTTTTTTAGAGTGCTCTGAGTGGTTGTTGTGAGTGGTTGCAATGATTCTTGCTTCAGCAAGCACCACAACAATACAGTCACTGCCTCTGATGTTAAACAGAGGTTATGGATTTTTTCAACCTCTTCCAGAAAATGTGTGAACTTAATGGCAACCTCTGTACATTGCAGCACACATATACTTTTAAGACATCATGGGTTATGTAAGCTTAAAACTCTTTACAGGACCGTTGAGAATTGTAGAACACACATACGCAGCACAGGAGACTGGAATTATGTGCAAACTTGAATAAGTCCACTGTGAGCTCTGTTGCCTGGAAAATTCATCATCGGCAGCAGACTGCAAAACACAGCAGTCTCTGA